ACGCGCACACGTGTCAGCAACGCGCATCACTTTTCGGACGGACCACACAATGAACAAATTTCGCAATCAAATACCGGCAACTCATCGAACAATGAGTTTTTTCGTTCGACAAACTAATGAACAATATATTTTTAATTACAATAATAGTAGCGTAATACTAATTAACGTAAATTATGGAGGCTTAGCTCATTTATTAGTAGATACGGGAGCTAGTTTATGTATTTTAAAATATGAATGGTTGTCTAACTATACGGAACTATTAAATAAGCTTCAGTATGATAGGTTAACAATAAAAGGTGTAAGTGGAACATTAATTTCTGAAGGGTTTCTTTATTTAGATTTAGTTTGCGATGGTATAGTTTTTAATCAAAAATTTTATGTTTTTAAGAACTTGTGGTGTTCCGCTGATGGAATATTAGGTGATAATTTTTTTAAGCATTATAGAGGAATAATTAATTATAAAACAATGACTTTATGTTTAACTCATAATGACCAGAAGGTTAACTTGAGTATTGAACCTGACAATAGGTATACTCGCACAATCCCACCACGTTGTGAGGTAATTAGTTATATTCCTTGCGCTTATCGTGAGGATACAGTCGTATTGGCCAAGGAGATCCATGAAGGGGTCTTTGTTGCAGGTTTACTGGCAAAACCTAGCAATAATCATATCCCTGTTAGAATATTAAATACAAGGAATACGGAAATACAGATAGATGTATCTGACATAGGTGTTTATTCTCTGAACGATTATGACGTATGTGAGTTTACTTCGGAGAGTAAAAGTGTAGAACGTGTTAAAACACTATTTAATTTGCTCGATGTCAGTTATCTAAATAAGGAAGAGCAAATTAACATAGAAAACATATGTGCAAAATATGCAGATGTGTTTCATTTGCCAGGGGATAAATTATCAGTCACAAATTTAATGGAACATACTATTAAATTGAAGGATAATGTAGCCCCTATCTATCAGAAACCGTATAGAATTCCCCATGCTCTTAAGCACGAGGTAGAAAAGCAAATTCAAGATATGTTGGAAAACGATATTATTGAGGAAACAACATCGGAGTGGTCGAGTCCAATATTGTTGGTTCCAAAGAAAGCAGATAAATCTAATGAAAAGAAATGGAGGCTTGTCGTTGATTACCGACAGTTGAATAATAAAATACAGGATGACAAGTTTCCATTACCTAATATAACTGAAATTTTAGATTCACTTTCAGGGAGTATATATTTTTCAAAATTAGACCTTTCACAAAGTTATTACCAACTTTCTCTTAGTGATAATTCTCGAAAATATACTTCATTTAGTGTCAATAAAATGTATCAGCTTTCTCTGGACCAGGATTCACGTAAATGCACTGCTTTTTCAGCAGGAAAACAGTATCAAATGAAACGTTGTCCAATGGGACTCAAAACCAGTCCAAGCGTATTTTCAAGGCTCATGACAATTGCAATGGCGGGCCTTAACTATAAAAAATGTTTTATTTATCTGGATGACTGTATTGTGATAGGAAACTCGTTATCAAGTCACAACAAAAATCTCATAAGTGTATTGAATAGACTACGAGAAGTAAATCTTAAATTAAACCCTATTAAATGTGAATTTTTGAGACACGAAATTGTTTATTTGGGCCATAAAATAACATCGAGTGGAATTTTCCCCGATCCAGCAAAGATTGAAGTATTGCGAAATTTTCCAACACCTGTATGTGCTGAAGATGTGAAACGTTTTGTTGCGTTTGCAAATTATTACAGACGCTTCATATCAGGTTTTGCTTCCATTGTTTATCCATTAAATGTTTTATGTAAAAAAGGTGTAAAGTTTGATTGGACATCGGAATGTCAGTCAGCATTTGAGAGTTTAAAGAAAGCACTTATGAATCCACCAGTATTAGAATATCCAAATTTTTCAGAAAATAACATGTTTAAATTGCAAACCGATGCCTCAAAAATTGGTCTAGGAGCAATACTATCAAATGAAAATGGTAAAGTAGTTGCTTATGCAAGTCGAAATTTGAAACCAGCCGAGACTAGGTATCCTGTGATTGAATTGGAATTACTAGCCATTGTTTGGGCAATCAAACATTTTAGACCTTATTTATATGGTAGAAAATTTAAAATTTATACTGATCACAAACCACTCATTTATTTATTTAGTTTAAAGGATCCATCAAGTCGATTAACAAAATTCCGTTTATATTTAGAGGAGTATGACTTTGAGGTTGAGTATGTTCCGGGTCGAAGCAATGCGGCTGCAGACGCATTGAGTCGGATTCCTGTAACATGCAAAGATCTTAAAGATATGCAAGAACATGTTGTCAACGTCTTAACTAGACAACAAAAGAAAAATTTAGCGCTAAATAATGACAATGACCAGACTTATGAGAGCCCCGCGGTAAATAGGTCTGATCAACCTGTAGCGGTGGAGATTCTTAAGAAACCTGATGACGTAATCGAGCTCGTTTTATGCGATGAAATTAAGTTTCATAATATTTTAAATGATAAAGAGAATGTCGGTTCAAATAAAAAATATTGCATATTTGTTCTATCGCAATCTGCGATATATCTAAACTCCCGATCGTTATCGACCCCACAGGTGTTAGCGAGGGATTTAGGTGAATTATGTGAACAATTAAAAATAAAAGAATTAATAATTATAAAGAATAAAAAGACTGACAACTTTATTAAAGTCTTATTGAGTAAAACAAAGAACTTGCAAGTTAATTTACCTCGTTTTCTTGTAATAAAAGGTGTTACAAAAATATGTAATGATAACAAAAAGAAAGTTATTTTAAATGATTTTCATTTATTACCCAGCAGTGGCCATGCGGGTATGAATCGTATGCTCAGTAATATGAAAAGATACTATTTCTGGCCAGGTATGTGTAGTGACGTAATAAGGTATGTAAAAAAATGTAAAAGTTGTCAACTACAAAAGCATACTAATAAAAATGTTAAGGAACCAATGACTATAACATCTACGCCTAGTTCAGCTTTTGAGAGGATAACTTTAGATTTAATGGGCCCCCTAGATGTAGATAATTATAATAATAAGTATATTTTGACCATTCAGTGTGATTTGTCTAAGTTTGTTGAAGCGTACCCTATTCAACATAAGGATACTGTTACAGTATCTAGGACGTTCGTAAATAATTTTATCCTACGATATGGTATACCACGAGAAATTTTAACAGACAACGGCAGTGAGTTTATGTCGTCAGTTTTAAAAGAATGTTGTCAAATATTAGGAATTCAAAAATTAAATTCAACACCATATCACCATGAAACTTTAGGATCCCTTGAAAACTCACATAAGCATTTAGGTGCTTTTCTTAGAATACAATGTAATAATAATAAAGGCGATTGGTCTGACTGGGTACACTTTTGGTGTTTTTCGTATAATACCACAGTACATTCAGCAACAAAGTACACTCCATATGAATTAGTATTCGGAAAATTATGTAATCTGCCAAGTAACTTACAAAGTAGTTTTGATCCATTGTATAATTTTGATAGCTATCCCTTAGAACTTAAATATAGGCTACAAAAAGCTCATTGTAATGCAAGGAATAATCTTTTACAATGTAAACTTTTAAGGAAAAATATTTACGATAAAAACTCGTCTCCTATCCATTATAAAAAAGGTGATCTTATTTTAATAAAAAATCAAACAGGTACAAAATTAGATAATATTTATATTGGACCGTATGAGGTTATAGAAGACATTTCACCTAATGTAAAAATAATAAAGAATAATAAAGAATATGTTATTCATAAGAACTTAACTAAGATGTTTTACGATTAAGTAAATTATTTGAATTATATGTTATAAAGGAAAGATAAAAAAAAAATATATTTTACAAAGTAACTTATTGCAGTATCGATCAACATTTTTTTTTTCTCCCTGAGGGAAGGGGTGAAGCCCCACTTTTTCGAGGGACATGTAAGGACATAAGAACATCTTTGTAACTCAAGGTTGATTGAGAAACAATAAGGTACGTTGCGCTTAATCAGCGAATAGTTTTAAGTACTTTAGTGTTGTATGGTTATTGAATATAAGGAAATTTGGCAATAATAAATCAGACTTATTGGCAGCAACACGTCTTTGAATTTACCACCCCTATGGAGATATTGCAAGCTGACACAAATGCATTCTACTAGTCTAATTTAATATTAAGTTAATTACAGGGCTCTCACATTCACAATGGTTATCTAAGTTAAACAATATACAATTTAGCAATATAGCTGTATTATTTCCGATTTCATTAAAACATCAGTGTTTTTTGTTATCCTATGGAGCCGGACTAGCCTGGCAGTCTGGGCAGTCTTTTATGGTATGATCTTGTTCGCCACAATGTCCGCAAGTAAAAGAGGTCTGTCGACATGATTTAGCAGCATGTCTGTACTGCTGGCACTTGAAGCACCTGGTCACCAGAGTGAAGCGAACAGGGCATGATGACCAATTTACAAAGACTCAGTCTTTGGATATTAGGGCTTTCGAATGACTGCAGTTACTTTGACCACATAATTGCAGGTCTCAGCATCTCTCCTCCCTGATTTATGGCTTAACTTAGTTGTATTTAAGAAAGCGTCAAGACTGCAATTTTCCAATTTGTCTGCCAGATTTTGTTGGTACAAGCATATTAAAGCGTCGTTGTCGGACATAGCTGATGGCACTCCTATGATGACGATTTTGGGCTTTCTTTTCTTCGGCTCATCGACAGTAAGACGAGCTTGTAAGTTGTGCTGATTGTCTCAACTTCTCAATATCGCCTTAATACATTAATATAATTGAATACATTGCCTAACTTTATTTACTTGTACTTTAAGTTGCCTATCCTGAAGGTATGATTTCAACAGATTTAGCGACGTCCCCCGAATGCCGTAGTGTCTCCAGTCTACGGTTGAAGGGGCAGCAGTTCAGCATGTGCGAGCAGAGCTCTGCGCGGACATTGTAAGTTAAGCTTGTACAGCCTGTACGTGTCGGACGTTACCTGTCGCCGCCGTCCGGCTGCGGCTCGGCGCCGTCGCCGCGGAACCTCGGCCGCGAGCACATCTCCTGCAACACAAGCGCGTGACTCATGGTTTATTCTAGGTCAATTGTCAAATTATCAGTTCGTTATGAGTTTATGACATCGGATTTGGTCCGATAAGTATTGGTTTTGTTTCTGGAGGTAGGTACAAAGTTTTAATTTCTGTCCCACATACGAGTCGCCGATGCCGCGGTGTTGAGCGTTCGGCTCAAGCATTGAAAACATAGCTGTCACCGCGACTGAGTTGAGAATCGTGATCGTAAAAACAAAAATATTTAAATGCCATCTTCACCATCTTGTCTAGTGGTTTCGTGCAAAAATAGAAGGTAACACAAAATATTTCAAAGTCAGGCATCAGGTCTGCCACGCCTACAACTACAATAGGTGCAGGTACGTGGTGTGGTTGACAATGCGGGGCTGACATCGCAATGCTGAGCACGTGGTCCGTCCGTTCGTGGTATTGTCTACCGGTACTAGAGACCTACACTCGCGTCTATATAAATCATGGCGGCTGTTTTAAGGCCGCGTTTCCACTGACGCTGAATCTGGGTGGAGAGGAGCGGTGAAGAACGGTGAAAAGCGGTCAGTGTTTTCACTGAAGCGGAGCGGATTGGAATTGTTTGTTTGTTGTCGTTTAAAAAGGAAAAAAACAATCATTTATATCTTTCTCTACTGGAAGACGAAGATAACGAGTCAGATGCAGTACCATTGACTGTTGCGCCCCGCTGTCCTCCGCACCGCATCGCCTCGTTGTATTTTTATTATGAATATCCTCTCAGCTCTGTTCCACTCCACTCGTGCTGGTTCCATTGAAGTGGAGCAGAGATTTCGACCATAGTGATTGGTCAATTCGTGCACCGCTAGGCTTCTTTCCGCCCCGCTCCGCGTCAGTGGAAACCCGGCCTAATTTGTAGGTAGGTACTGTACCTCGGTAGCCTTATACTAACTCATATCGTTGGTTAACAGTACAATTTTTATTTAAATTTATTTAATAATTTATTGTTTCGTAAAAAAAATTAGACAGATAATTTATTTCGTAAATAGATTTGATTTCAGTGACAGTAAAGTGCAGTGCAGTATGTAGGTGCAGTATGTAGAGTATCTGTATACTGACGTGCGGGCGGCGCGGCGCGGCGCCGGCGGGGGGAGGGAAGGCGTCCTGGTACAGCGCGCCGCCGGACCTGCACAGCACGCACACTGACGTCACACACCCAACTCCACCCGAAGTGGCCCGAAGGCTCTCTCGAACCACGTATTCGAGGCCTAGTTTACAGCACGGTATAATGATGATATTACCGTGGTCACACGCTTATTGGGTAACCTAGTTTCACAAGAACAGTTTTGTTGAACATTTTGTCCTAATGTCCGTCTTTTCCTATTAAAAAATGTGGCCCAACATTTCTGCTGTGTCGTAGGTGCGTTTACAATCATAATACAATTTCACATACACGGGACACCCAGACCAATAACAATTAGTGGATCTCGCAGAGTTGCTATGTGTGGGAATCGAACCCAGTACACATTACGCGGCAGCCGTTGCACAGCCACCGCGCCAACCGTACATTCAAACTTGCCTGAAGGTCCATTATGTCAGGTTTAATAACTAAAATAGTGATGTTATTAGTGGCGATTAGTGGCGCGCTCGCGGCAGCGTACTCACCCCGGGCGCGCGGAGGGCGGGCGGGCGCGCGGCGGCGCGGTGGCGCCATCTGCAAAGACACATGGTCGGGGTCACTGTTGTGTATCGCAGCCCCAACTGATCCACCGAGGCATCCTTGTCGTACCAGAAAATATTCGCGGAACACTAAATGTGACAAAAGGGTGACCTTTTTAGTAACATAAATTAATATACACGTATTTTCTTCACGGTTCCGTTAAACTGAAGCTTGGTCATTGTTCTCGTTCGAAGTCGGTATCGATGGGATGTCCTCAGGGCTCGGTTGTTGGTCCGTATTTGTGGAATTTAGGATTTGATGATTTGCTTGCGATTCCCCTTCCTTGTGACTGTACTTTGACTGGATATGCGGATGATGGCCTTTTGCTAGTACAGTCAAATACCCGCGCCGGACTGGAGAATTTGGGTAAAGACTGTCTCAGTAGGATCTCGCGATGGGGCGAACGAAATCGCTTGACTTTTCCACCCCATAAAACTTACCAGCTATTGCTTAAAGGAAATCTAAAGTTGTGGCCGTCTATTAAATTTAACAAAGTTTCCGTAAAACGAAAAGAGTCTGTTTGCTACCTCGGTCTAGTTTTGGAAAAAACTTCTTTCATTCAACATATAAGGCTATTAGTGAGAAAGCCAAAAATAACTTGTATGCGCTGACGCGGATTTCAAAAGCCACCTGGGGTCTCTCTTTTCTTACGCTCAGGATCATATACGGAGCAATCTACCTGGGATGCGTGTGCTACGGGGCACCTGTCTGGGCTGATAGGACCACAATAGGCGCGGTACGGCGAAAACTTCTCCAAGGCCAGCGTCTAGCCTTGATTTTCCTTTGTAAGGCTTATAGGACGGTTAGCACTGAGGCCTTACCTGTGCTCGCAGGCGTACTTCCGGTCGATCTTGAGGTGCAGCGACGTGCTGCTATGTACTACAGTGCGAGACCTAATTTGTCAGCAAGCTTTCTAGCACAACGTGATAGAAATAAAATTGCTAGATTGTTTAAGCCAATAACGGACGTTTGGGGCGAGTTTATAACTGAATGGCAGTTTAGCGGGAGCGGCAGCAGCCCTGGTGGAGGCCAATTCACCAGCAGACGACTTGACCAACACTTGTTTCTTTACGTTAACGTTTCTATATCGCTACTGTCATTTTGTTTTCTTGTAATATAAATTTAAACCTAAAGTACAGTCCAAGTCCACTTTATTTCTGCAACTCCCTGAGCTCCTGAACACAGGTACTGTATCAACGTAAACAAAGCGACTTAAAACGACAAAAAAAAAACAATTAACAAATACTTTAGATAATAATATCTGCCTAGAAAAAGTAGAAAAAATAATACTTGACTAATCAAACCTACAGAGCGAACGAATAAAAGTCAATAATAGCGCTAGATGCGCACACCGAAACTTCATTGATTCGGAAATTCGGAAGCTACGAACCTATACTTTCACCGGTAACGAAACCATAGCGCCATCTAACTCGATCCTAACACCATCTATCGAGCGTTGAAACAACAACGTACGTACAATATATAATTGCTAATTGTTGAGTATTGTTGCCACTATGATTTCGTGTACCTTTAACGACCTAAAACCTACAAAATACGCAATTTAATGTAAAATGATTGGAACCAAAATTTAAAAGCGAAAAATACTGAAAAAACACCACGCTACCCCGCTTTATAAACACTCAGCGCCATCTATCGCCAAGTAGCGTAACTCCTACATAGACACCAATTTCGTGTGCCTTTGACAACCTAAAATCTACAAAATACGCAATTTAGGTAATGTAAAATGGTTGGAACCAAAATTTAAAAGCGAAAAATACTGATAAAACACAACGTTACCACGTTTTTAAAAATGACATAAAACACCGAATAAGTATAGATTAACACCAAATAAGCGCTATATATTAAAGCGTAAAATTTCCAATTAGTAGGTAATTCGTTAAATTGTTTTAAATGGCATACAGCGCCATCTATACAAATATTTTTGTTTTCCCTCGGGAATATCACATTTTTCCAGGATAAAAAGTTCCCCTATTATTTAATCTGGACTTCTAACTTTACGTCTGCAAAATTTCGAAGCAATCGGTTTAGTAGTTACGGCGTGAAAGCGGAATAAACAAACATACTCACTTTTAGATTTATAATATTAAGTAAGGATAAGTAGATAACGCTGTATGCTTTTAGGTTCATAATGACAAATTTCCAAAACGTTCACTCTCCCAAAACGTCCACTTCCCAAAATGATAATTCCCTAAATGTACTACTTCCCATTTCCTCTACTTTCCCATAACGATGACAAGTCTATAATTCTCATAAGGTTAACTCTCAGAACGTCCATTTTCTTTATTATCTGGTTCCGTACATACCTAAGTGAAATAACTATTCAGACTAGCATAGCGGGTACCACCGGACGGGAATCTAGGGGTTGCTATGGGCGGGCGAAGCTAGAACCGTAATTCAGGAGGATTTCAATAATATCACCAAATAATACACATACACTCACCTCAGTATTTAGTAGCAACAAGAATTAAGTAGTTTAGACATAAGTACACAGGGTCATACATATGAATGCTTGCATGAAAATAATATTGGTTGGTTAAGACACATAAACAATAAGTAAACAATCCATAAAATTTAAGTTAAGACTACGTTACTTACCGAATTTGCCAAAAATTTTGTTAATGAATACCTATGTTAATTTCCTTTGTTTCAGTTACTTAAATGATTTACTGTTAACTGTCTATATAAATTATTTCACATAATTATGTTTCTGTTTCTTAGTATAAGTAAAGTCAAAATAGTTTATTTCAATTAGACCAGAAAGGCACTTTAGAACGTCAACAATAAATTTAAAAGTGAAGCTATTTGCTCATTCCAAGGTGTAGATTCCTATGGAGAAGCACAAGCAAGAGACTCCATAGGTTACTCGTTTTCAATCAGGTTCACAATACAGTTCTCTAGTTAAGTACATAGTTTGCTGTTTAAGTTTAAGTAAGCTGTAAGTTAAGTCTGTTTTTGTTAAGGACAAGTTTGCTGCGCAGAGACCCTTTACGCAACTCTAATCTAAATGTAAAGGACACACAATATTATTATTAATTAGTTTTTTTTTAACAAAATGTTACGGTTTTCGTGTTCCAGTGGGAACTTCAAATTTTTGAATAAAATTATTTTCTTTAATCATAATTAGATAGTCAATGTTTAACCGGAAAACTATTGTTCAAGATATTTGCATGAAATGTACATAGTACCTCACTACCTCCTCCTGTATTTGAAGTCGGTAAAAATGACAGACTTGGATCTTATTACGGTGACGGCACTTTTCGGTGCTGTTCGCCACCATCTTATCAGAATTACAGTATACATCTTGATGTTGATAATTCCAACAAAAGTTGCAGCAATATTGTACCGGTGATTATTGTACCGGTGATTATTGCCCAACGAAAAAAGAAGCTGCTTACATTCGTTTCTTTAATTTATTAAAAAGCAAATTAGGGGTAAAATACTTCACTAAAAATGTGACTATGAGCAAGCTCAATTTAATGCGATCCAGAATGTACAGTCCGAGGCTAAAACTACTGGTTCCTTCTATCATTATAATCGCGCAAATTAAAAATATTTAAAACCCTAAAAGTATTTTTACTACATAATGAATAATTTGTGTGACTTGTATCCAGTATAATAGGTACTGTTTGAAAGCGTATTAACTAGGGAGCTAAAATAAAACTTAATTAAATATGCCAGAATGGCTTTTAGTTGATTTCTTAAATAATTTAATAGTTGAAAACTTTCAGACGTGTGAATGAATACTTAAACGTTGGAAACATGTAAGAATTCTTGAAACCATTTGAATCAAAAAAAAATTATTATTAAAAAAACAAAATACCCGACTGCACACTAAAAAAAGAGTAAAACAAGCCCCACAATAATATTGATCAATCAAATGCTAAAAACTAATTATGTAATACCGTTTAAACAATACCTATATTAAAATACGCTACAATATGTGTTCGTAATCGATAGTTAAATAAACAGAAACTTATTTTGAATACAAATTTACTGAATATAATTTATAAATGTTGATGGAATGCATCGCAGGCGGGGACCAACAGAGGCTTATTTATAGTCATTTCGGTTGTGCACCATTTAGCAGAATTTTCGTTGGTGGCGGTCAAGGTGGTCCCCGCCTGCGATGCTTTGCATCAACATTTATAAATTATATTCAGTAAATTTGTATTCAAAATAAGTTTCTGTTTATTTAACTATCGATTACGAACACATATTGTAGTGTATTTTAATATAGGTATTGTTTAAACGGTATTACATAATTAGTTTTTAGCATTTGATTGATCAATATTATTGTGGGGCTTGTTTTACTCTTTTTTTAGTGTGCAGTCGGGTATTTTGTTTTTTTAATAATAATTTTTTTATTTATAACTTTTTAGCTGTTTTTATTTCGATATATACAAATAGGGATATATCGAATAAAATCGCTATTTAGAGACGACCGTCAACGACGTGTGCCCTCATGCGTGTGCCCGCAATCGGGCTGTATACTCGAGCATATCCCCCTCCGCACCGCGCCGCGCGCCGCATGCCAGGCCACGCCCTATCTTTTTGCTTGCTAACGCATGAGTTGCTTTGCGTTGACGCAGAATTAACATGTTCCCGTGGGAATTTTGAGAAAAAACGTATCCTATATTAATTACTCCCGTGATTGAAATGAATCTAATGATACCGCATACATATTTTTTTAAAGGGAAATTTAGAAAAAATATTATTATGTCTTTATCCCGTGGGACTTTTAGGATAAAATGTATCCTATGACACTCCCGTAATCAAGACAAATCTAACGATACCTCATACATCAAAATCCATCAAGCCGTTTAGGCTACAGGTGGTCACAAAGGAAAAGACATACATACATACTTACATACACTCGAAAAACATTACCCTCCTTCTTTGGCAGTCGGGTAAAAA